AGGAAAGCAAGGCTATGTAAAAATTTAATGGAAACGTCAGCTCAACTCATTTCATTATGGAAAATTTCTTCTTCTACCAGTCCTTTATCACCTTAAACGAAATTGGGTAAATACATCTGATATTATGTGATCGGTATATATCTATCTATCAAGCTACACCAAGACGATCCTTTTAAGGTGTGAGCATCTGTACTCTCACAAGTTGGGCAGGAAAATCTCGCTATCCTGATTCATAACTTGAGACCTGAAACCATAATCCTATTATTAATGAACTCGTAAATTTTATGGACAATATATTGGAGTAAATACAACACTGGTAATCTCGTTTATATTTTCAATTAATAAGGATTTTCAAATTGATATTTAGTTTTTCCTAGTTAACTTCGTAAAATCAAGGTCACCTGCCAATGCGCCTTGTTATATCTCTTCTCGGCGCCGTATTTCTAAAGATACTGATGTCTTTTGACATGTTCACTTAAGAATGTAAGGTATCTTATTACTCTAAAAGCCTTCTAGCCCTTCTAACCATCCCGTACTATTTTACTCTTTTTACTCTGCAAAAATCACCATGACATTAGCTCTTCTTAACTGAATATATGTGCCCTTTTTGAGTGTATGAGCCGCTTAAAGAGGCAGTGCGTTCCAGCAGGGTGCAGACTGTCTGATGAAAAGTCTCCTCAATTATAGGGGCCTTATCCTTATTTTATAAAACCCTAGTACTCAGCCCAAATTTTAACCTATGTTAATAAATCTACTCGCAAATTCAGGCATTTTCTGACAAAGATAGTAATCAGTGAAGTCAACTCTACAAAATTTTGCATTTAATTCAGCAGGTTTTACACTTTTTTCCTCGCATAAGGGTCACCTATGCTCTATTCGTAGTTTTTCTCATGAACTGTGGATTTAAAAACGTTACCTCTCGTCACCCTAAAATGCAATCAGATCTACTAGACTACGACCTTAGAATCTAAACTAGATCAATCATACGACATTATTTAGAGGCCAGCTTTTATAATATATAGCATATTTAGAAGGACGTTCATGGTACAAGGGCTTGTTCTCCAATTCCATGTTAGCCGAATATCCTCGAAAGCAAAGCACTACTTCCACACGCTTCTACACAGTGCTTTGCCTAAATTAATTCTTGTGTAAAGTTACGATACTTGGCCCTTAAAGTCAAAAAAGTTAAATACTGCAATCATATTCCAACCAGAACTTTACAGAGGCCATGTTGACCGAGTCGTATAACCATACATAACTATCGCCCATGTAAAACCAGGATAATGAGCTTTTCGAAAGTGAGAACCTCTAAATTATAGGTTTATAGACGATAAAGGTCTACTTCACTTCCGATCACACAAGAACCTAAAAATCCACCTAAACTCCGCTCCAGAATACTCTTCAATTTTGAACCAAAAAACTTACACTGATTGTCCAAGAATTAAGCATTTGTCTGATTGGAGGTTAATTTTAAGCATTTGATAGGCATAACACACATTTCTCTGGAGCTCACTGTTTAATTTAATGAGAATGAGCCTTCTAAAGTGGGGTAATGCGATGGTGAAACTCATCTATACTCTCAATCCTACGATTTATTACTCTAAAAAATAATGATATCCGAAAACAGCTTCGATTAATTTGTATGTAGAAATAAGAAAAAAGCTTTACAAATAAAGGAAGATCCAAATGTCTATAAGAATTCACTCAGATATTGAAATCACAAGTGATTAAGCGAATTAGCCTAACGGAAAGATATATTTAGAAAATATTTAAGCTATTCATTTTTGTCAAAACTCACTAAAACGTAAAGTAAATCATTTAATTAAGGAAATTAGAAATGTTTTAATATAGAATTTCTGCATTATGTAGTAGCTAGTGCTATGATACAGTTATGTAATTAAATTCCTCTTACTAGTTCATGTAATTTTGATTAAATAATTAAGATATTAAGAAATCTTTCACAGATAAATGCTAATGAAAAAAATCATCTTTGTATTATTTTACTTCACAGATAGGTCCCCGCGCATCATCTCTTTTTTATCAGAGTGAATTTTTATGGCTCCCTTCAGCAAAACAAAGAAGCCACCTCCCGAGGGTTACGAGCTTATTGAATCAACCATTGATGAACTAAATAGAAAAATGAGAGAAGCAGAAACAGATCCCCATGAAGGTAAACGTAAGGTTGAGGCAGAGTGGCCAATATTTCGGATACATCACAAAAAATCACGTTATATTTATGAACTATACCATAAGCGAAAAACAATTAGCAAGGCAAGTTTTTGTGCTTATAATGTTGCAGGAACTTTATGATTATTGCATCAAAAAAAAAATAGCTGATGCAAATATTATTGCTAAATGGAAGAAACCAGGATATGAAAATCTCTGTTGCCTTCGGTGTATTCAGACAAGAGATACAAATTTTGGAACAAATTGTGTCTGCCGTGTTCCCAAAAACAAGCTTGAAGAAGGAAAAATTGTGGAGTGCCAGAATTGCGGTTGCCGAGGCTGCTCAGGATAGATGAAATTGTCTGTGTAAATAGAGCAATTTTCAACCTAATCACAGCTTCTCTCCGCTACTCGCCAAACATACCCTTCGTATTTTTGCGATATTCTAATGTGTTGACAATGTGATAATATGATATTTTACTTTCTCTAAATAATAACTCTTGGGAAGGGGGAACAATGAAGAACCTTCGTGTCTCATTGTATTGTCCGACTTCTTAGTGCTGGTGCAGTTTTTTAGCATTTCATAAGGAATTTATTAAATATGTATTTAAGGCATTTACTCACTCATAATTGTTACTCACCGATTATTAAAGGGAGGCTTATATGTGCTGTGAGCATTCAGCGCCTGGAAAACACATCTATCTCTTATAACGTGGTCCCGCTATTGATCTTATTTATTATAGTTATATTTCCATTTCGTTTTACCGAATTTATAGTCTTAATGAATGCAATCCATTAAGCCAGGTCGACTTTCCTCTAACTATCTCATATACGCCGACCGAGGGGTGAAATTCCACACTAAATCTGCGTTATCCTTTTCGAGTTAATTCATGTGAGCTAGTAAAGAGCAGCCAAATACACGAAATTATAATTAATTTGATTTTTTGGACTTGATTACTTTGCACTTCCTGTTATATCTTGCTCGGATATGGGTATCCGGCTAAATCCAGTCGGATATACCTAATAGCGTTTAATCTTAAATCTACTTGACCAAATGTGTATTTGGGATGGATATTATACAAGTTAAGATAAAATGGACTAAAATAGTACACTTCTCCATGCTGTCATCCGAAGTTGTCACTCGCGAAGTTCTTCAACTTGATACGTTAACCGATTGACCACATCGCCACAAGTGCGATTCTGCGCTGTCACGGTTCTACTCCCGCTAGGGGTGTTTATAAGACCGATGCGAGGTCGAAACTGCAGTCCACGCTGGATGAGAACAACTTTTGGGAAAGCAGGGCAATGTGAAATTCAATGGAAAAGTCGGATCTACTCATCATTGTGGGAAAATTCTATTACTAGTCATTCATCACCCTAAACGAAATAGGGTGAATACCTCTCATATTACTGATATACTGGTAGTCTCGAAACTACTTCTATACGAAAATTCATTAATAATTTCGATTTTGGATCGGTATTGCGTAGAGATGTATCTACGCAGATATAATCAAGTAAAAGTATCATGAACAATATGAAAGATAGAGGTTGTTTGACCTTGCTTTGCAATTTGGTCGTATTGGTACGACGACACAGCTAGTCCGGAGTCTATTGTATGCATGATCACTTCCAAGGTGGGACCGTGACGTAGTACATTCCCAGACATTTCGCTGGCATTGTCAGTGAGTTTCGCCATTCTTAGCACCATAGTACAGCTCGTCAAAGAGACAAGTGAAGCCGATCCTTTGACCAAAAGTGTGCTAAACAGTTGTGGTATTTCCCCCTTCTGCCCTGGACTATTCACATTTCCAAAATCCTATCACGCCTTAACTGCTACAATTTTGAGCGCGCCTATTTCGATGTAGTGTGGTGTCCTTCTTTGAGCGGCATTCATGAAAACCATTCACACTCCACGCTGTCGTTATCACCCTCTTCACCCTTGTGTTGGGAATGTTGATCAGAGTCTGACGTTGTTACGCAGTCCTCTTTCCATAGGTCTTATCACAGTCTCTATTTCCCCGTAAGATCCGTCTGCTCTCTCCCTGGTTCACGTATTTCATTCGACCCGTCACTCGATCTGTACTACTCTATGCGTCATTCGCCCTCTCCTGCGTCTTGGTGACTAATTCGAGACTCAAGCCTCTGAGTAAGTCTCATCGTCAAGCCTTTGCGACATGGACCACTTCTATGGTACAACAGACCTACTGTCAGCCAACTAGCTCCAGTCGCCCCTGTGTCTATCCTTTTTCTATCCCTAATACCAAGTCAGTGACTTCCTATGCCCCGGTCTCTTGTGTGCCAACCCACAAATATTGTGGTACTACTTGCTTTTGATTAGGTTCATTGTTGTTGGAGACTGGAACTAGTTGGTTGATAGTATGTCCGTTGCACCATAGACGTGGTCCATGTGGCAAAGCCTTGACGATGAGACTTACTCAGAGGCTTGAGCCTAGAATTAGTCACCCAGACGCAGGGGTGGGCGAATAACGCCTCGAGTAGCACAGATTGGGTGACAGGGGTCGAGTGAAACACGTAAACCAGGTAGAGAGGGGACGGATCTTACGGGGCTAGAGAGACTGTGATAAGACCTATGAAAGGAGGATTGCGTGACAATATGGCAGTCTCTGGTCAACATTCCCAGCACAAGGGTGAAGGAGGTGAGAACGACTGTGGAGTGCAAAGGGTTTTCATGAATGCAACTCAAAGGAGCACACTTCACCTAAATAAGCACAGTAAATATTGTAACAGTGAAGGCCTTATAGGAGGATTTAGGAAATGTGAATAGTACAGGGCAGAAGGGGAGATATCACAACTGTTTAGCACACGTTTTGTCAAAGGATCGCCTTCACTTGTCTCTCTGACGAGTTGTTGTGTCGTGCTAAGAATGACAAGACTCACTGACGATGCCGGCGAAGCGTCTGGGAATGTATTATGTCTACGGTCCGACTTTGGAAATGATCATGCAAACAATGGACTCAAGACTAGGTGCGTTTCTTTAAGTTTTCCTACCAGTATGACCAAGTTTCGAAAGCAAGTTCAAACAACCTCTATACGACGAAAGGAGACTACGACCATAGAAAAGGCCAGAACATCTTGGTTTTCATACCTTCAACATGAAAGATAATTAGCAAAACTATTATATATCTATCTTTACCAATACATTTTCTGTTTTTAGCTATGAATATGTACTAGAGGTAAGATATAGCTGGATAGCCTTTTTGACCGAGTGCTAAATTGGAACTTTTATAAGATTAAGTTTCATATCTGATCATGTTCATCAAATTATGAATGAAAGCTCAGCCCGTTTTAACCCGAGGCAAGAGAGTATGTCTCGTGGAGTGCATCAACCTGAACGTGATATTAAAGCCAAACGGCTGCAGTACAACGGGAATCAGCCGTCGTCTTCTGCTGATATCGACCTTCGGATCTCATATTCACACACTTCATACCAAATGAAAATCTTCCTAACAACGTTATCTCAGATGCTTTGTCGAAACACAGTTACTCTAGTATCTGAATGAAGTGCCATTTTATTTTTATCCGCTTTATCCCAAAAATTGCTATAATGACAAAAGTCGTCTGAACGCCAGTTTTATTTATATTTAAATTTGAAAAAAAATAATTATCCAATCCTAATATTACCAGTTGTAATTAACGTTTAAAAACAATCAAGGGCATAAATAAGGTTTCGGAGGCTTTACTGAAGCTAGGAATATAAGCTAAATACTGTATTGCAGCGCACTACTTGAATAAGCACTCAAATATTGCTACATGTTACTGAACCAGTGAGAGGAGCAGTTTAATGCAGCAAATCGAAGCGATATGCAATGACCTAATGAGTAATTACAAGATTCAATACAAAATGCAAAACCAAGACTGGATAAGTACTGAAGTTATTTCTATACTTACTTGGCTGCCAAGTTATACTCTGAGAGAAAAGTCCCAATTATCGTGCTTTCAGTTTGCTAGATACGCACTTCCGTCTTGGGCCCAGATAGTAGCAAATATGTCAAAGGGCATAATCTGCCAATCATTATCCCTAATACAAATTTCAATCATCCTAGATTTCATATTCGGATAGTTTACTTTTTTTCAAGTTTAAATTGAATTCCCCTTAGCCTTGCTTCCTAAAAATACCGAGATATCTTTAGAATACTTTATAAGAATAACTTTAGGGCAGCACGAATAAGCGAAATTAGATAGAACACGGAAGCCCACCTATATCGCTATGGGAAAGTTTAACTTCTCTCCTTCATCGCCATATGCTATCTATGGTGACTGGAACTCATATTCAAGGGTCACTGATAGTTTTGAGACCTACTCAATTATAACACAATTCTTAGTGCAGATGCCATTAACTAATAAGTATGTAAGACTACCTTTAAGAGCTACATATTGATTACACAAGAATGCATGAAAAACTTAGGGGTTACAATAATCGATAAATTATTCGAGGTGACAAATACGAAAATATAAAATCTATGAAGGCTGAGATCCATTGAGCTTATATTTTCTCATTTATAAAAAAATGTTTACAAAAAATATATAACAAGGATTAATTCTCTTCCGCTAACAGAGGACTAATTATACTCGCATAACGTTCTTTGAGAAATACTAGATAATCCCGTGCTGCCTCTTCAACCCTCTCAAAAATCTCTGAAGACATAGATATCCGGGATTTGTATTCGGCAGTTTTTAATGCTTTAGCTATTATCCGTAATTGCTTAGCTAACTCAAGCGCCAATTTGTTTGAAGTAGTTAAATGATTAAGCTTTTCTTTACTGTCCTCTGCGTTTATTTGTAGCCCATCGCTATGACTACGAGAAGTGTTTTCTTCAATGGTTTTGTGAGATTTGATGGCTATAAAAAAAGGAAAATTGGTGCAAGTATATTCCATTTCTACAAGTTTTTAATTAGACTCATAAGAAACGTAAAGGTGTAGATACCTTCAGATGATTTATAATGCTCGGAAGAAGTAGAAATAATGCCGATTTCGGTGGAGTCTTCTGAGCCGGCTCGACCCTCTTCCTTATCTACTGGGCTGGAACCAATTGATGCCAACGGATAATTGTCCGAAAATGAAGCTGAAGTTATCCCTTTCGCACGTTCTGTAGCTTGGTGCTAGATTGAATAACAATAACGGGCCCCAGGAAGGTTTACAAAGACAGGATTTAAGTTATTCAGATTCATGCAAGGATTAATTTGGGTGTGGCACTCGTTTCTTTGATGCATTTAGACGATTTAAGTAAATATGCGTTCTTTTACGGAATACATTTAAAACTTTTATCTAGATCATTTGTATACAATGAATATAATATCTATATTTTCGACAATTGTCTGAAATTTTAGGTATTTTAAGTAATTTGATGGCGATAAATGCAAATGGCTGAATCGTAATGCATACTAAAATAGAAGACTATTTTATTATATGATTGAAAGTATGAAGATCAAGATGGTGTGGTCTTTTTTGTGGTCGCAGTCTCCTTCCGTTGTATAGAAATTGTTTGACTTTGTTTTCGCAACTTGGTCTTCATCCTTTCAATCAATCTATAGAAGTAAGATTGCCAAACAAGGCACTAATTACAGCAGAAAAAAGAAGACGATTGTAAGTCAATCCTGCCATTTGGCTTTTTTGAAGTGTTGCTAGCATTATGGTATTTCTCTCCAATTCTGCAATTTAATGAAGAAGTATCATTCGGACACAGTTAATGAAATACTTTATTACGCCTCCATCCTGAAATTAGAGGAAAGTTACAAGACGGATTCGACGGGGCAAGAGGGAGACTTTGATAGGACCCATGGT